CCCCCTTCCCTCTCGCGCGCGCGCATTCCTTTTTTTTTACCCTCCGTTTGAATTGGATCGATACTCTTCATTTCGCTCTCCCTACTCCTCACGCTCCCGGCTGTCGATTAAATGGGCAGTTGTTTTTTTCCTCCGTTTGAATTGGACGGACACAGAAGATTAGCATGCCCTGCATGGTATGACACTCTTCATGCTCGCGCTCTTCTTCCTCCTCAATGTCTTCCAATCGATGTTCTCTTCCTCTCCTCATGCTCTTCGTCCTACTCATTGGCTTCCTCCACCTCTCTCTCTCTCTCTCTCTCTCTCTCTCTCTCTCTCTCTCTCTCTCTCTGTGTGTGTGTGTGTGTGTGTGTGTGTGTGTGTGCGTGTGTGTGTGTGTGTTTGTTTAAATTGCATCTATACAGAGAAGATTAGCATTCCCCTCCGCGGATGGCGCATATGAATCCAGAAACCATAGCAAGCCCGTGTTTTAACATAGTGGTGCAGCTGAAAAACAGAACTGACTGCCAATCCGCTCTTCCTCCTCGTCCCGCTCCTCTTCCTCCTCGGTATTCCAATCGATGTGCTCTTCTTCTTTCTGATGCTCCTCGTCCTCCTCATTCTCTTCCCGCTATTCCTCCTCACGCTTATCGTCACGGTCTTTCGATCGAGGTGCTCTTCTTCTTTCTCATGCTCGTCATCCCCCATCCCCTCCCCCCACACACACCCCCGCCCCCCCAACCGTCTCTCTCTCTCTCTCTCTCTCTCTCTCTCTCTCTCTCTCTCTCTCTCTCTCTCTCTCTCTCCCCCCCATTCACCTGCCTCTTTCCTCTCCATAATCCACCCAACCTCCGCCTTTCCCCTTCCTCCCGGCCTGCTTTCCTTCGCCCAACCTCCGCCTGACCTCCTTCCTCCCTTATCTCCTCCCTCCCCTTCCTTCCTCCTCCGGATCTCCACCTTCACCTGACCTCCTCCCTGCCCCAATCTCCTCCCTCCCCTTGCTTTCTCCGCTCGGCCTGCACCTGACCTCCTCCTTCCATTCCTCCATCCACCCAACCTCCTGCCTCCCTCCGACCGGCCTCCCTTCCTTCATAACGCCCGACATAAGTGCATTTCATTTTTTAACCTTTTCCCGGCGGACGTAAGCGCTGCATTTCTTATCAAGATCTCAGTAAGGGTGCACATGCGCAAAAAAGATAGAGAGACAGGAAGAACGGGAGAGAGACAACGATACATTTCACCTAACAGTCGTCCTCCTTCACATCCTCCTCACGCTTTTCCTTCCCTTTCACGCTCTTCCTTGCCCGCACCTTCTCCTTTGTCCGCCTCCTCCACCACCCAAGGTGCGTCTCCCGCCGCCTGAAGCTCTTCCTCCTCGACATTTTCCTCTCGCCCTTTGGGGGCAGCCTTGACATTAATCATCGAACTAACCCACGCAAAGTATTTCAAGCCATCTTCCTTCCTCCCGCCGTCCTCCCTCCCTCCCTCCCTCCTTCCTCCCTTCTTTGTGGCCGACCTAGAGAGTGCGCTTCGTTTTGTCCTTTTCCCAATTTACGTAGACACCACATTTTGTTTTTCGGTCCGAATTAAGTCGAGCTCGAGCTTACGAGCGCGCGCGCGCGCGCGCGTGAGAGAAAGAGAGAGAGAGGCCTTCCCCATTCCCTATACCGCCACAGTTAGTCAGTCCTCTCTCTCTCTCTCTCTCTCTCTCTCTCTCTCTCTCTCTCTCTCTCTCTCTCTCTCTCTCTCTCTCTCTCTCTGTCTGTCTGTCTGTCTGTCTGTGCGTGCCTGTGTCCCCCCCCTCCCTAGCTTCTCCCATTCCCCCTTCTACCCGTCCGTCATCTCTTTCTTAGATTCATTTCGCCAGAAGAAGCGCATTCTCTCTCTCTCTCTCTCTCTCTCTCTCTCTCTCTCTCTCTCTCTCTCTCTCTCTCTCTCT